ACGCTGCTGCTCACGCACCGCATCGGCACCATCGGTAGCGCGGGGCGCGGAGCGGGGCGGGCGGCGCGGGGCGCGGAGCGGGGCCGGCGCTGACCGCCCCTGCGCCGCCCAGGGGAGCTCTCCTGCAACCCGTCCTTCGGCGGCATCGGCAAGGGCCACCTCGTGCGCGAGCTGGACGCGCTGGGCGGCGTGTGCGGCCGCGCCTGCGACCGCGCCGGCCTCCACTACAAGGTGCTCAACCGGCGCAAGGGCCCCGCCGTGTGGGGGCTCCGCGCCCAGCTCGACCGGCGCCTCTACCGGCAGCGCGTGCAGGTGAGCGGGCGCCGCGCGCGCCCCGCGCCCTCCCGCCCCGGGCAGAAACTGCCTCCCGCTCCTCTGGCCGCAGGAGGAGATCCTCGGCACGCCGCTGCTGAGCGTGCGCGAGGCGTCCGTGGAGGATCTGCTGCTGGCCGAGGCCGAGCCCGAGCGCCCCGGCAAGTGCCGCGTGGCCGGAGTCGTCCTGGGTGCGTAGCCGGCGGCATCGGCCGGACACGSGCTCCGGCCGGAGAGCGGCCCGGGTCGGCAGGGAAGACTCTGCAGCCCAGACGCGGTTAATGGCTGCAGGAAGGCACCATAGCCGGCGCCGGGAGGTGCTGGGAGGCTACGCACCTTGCGCTTTATGTCCCGTGGATGAGTGACCTGAGCTCCATTCCGTGTTAACACGTTCGGCAGGAGCAGGCTGCAAAGATTAGGTCCTTTCATTGGCAGACTCGGGCGTTGTTGCCACTTGCCGGTCTAGCAAGCCGGCCTCTAAGTAGCAGTCCCAAGAGCGGGTGTTTGGTGCGAGGGGTGGAATACGAGGGGAAACGTGGGGCTGGATTGATACTACAATACATAATGCCTCAAAACTTCCAGGGGACGGGAGCAGAGTCCACGCTGAGAGCGTCGTCCTGACCACCGGGACGTTTTTGAGGGGAATGGTCGTCATGGGGCTGGAGACGCATCCGGCCGGGCGGCTCGGAGACCGGCCGGCCGTGGGGCTGGCGCAGACCTTGGAGAACCTGGGATTCGCCATGGGTCGCCTCAAGACCGGCACGCCGCCCAGGCTTGCCAAGGACACCATCGACTTCAGCGGCCTGGAGCAGCGCGCGGCCGACAACCCCCCCGTGCCCTTCAGCTTCCTCAGCGACACCGTGTGGATCAAGGTGGGCAGCCGACGGCGGCACTCCCGGCGCTTCCGCCCGGGAGAAGTAGCTAAAACGGGCACAGAGGAAACGGCACCTTCACGAGGAAAGCTTGGGAAGTTAATGGCGTTCCTGTGTAGTTAAGCAGCACAGGATTAAGTGCTAGCAGATAATTTGCCACACAGCACATAGGAATTTTCATCACTTATTAGAAGGGCATAAAGTAATATTGTTTGATCGTCAGTGTTTGTAGAGGAGGCTTGGAGGAGTGAAGTGCAGTGGTGCAGTTTGAGTGTTARTCTCTTGCTTTTGTGTTTAGAAGAACCAGTGAAATGCTTTTGAGTTTTCCCTGTTAATTTTAGGGTTTGGAGAGATGTGCTGTATCTCCACCAAACTCTTCTGTTGTTGCATGATCAGCACTTACYGCCCTTACTTCAGGGTTCAAGTTCCTGTGGTTAGTTTGAAAGCTGTGACTCCATCTGTTGCTCACAAAGGAAGTCCACCCTGTAGTTASGAGCAGTGTCTAGGTTGGAGCGTGAATCCCAGCCCCCGGGCTGTGTTTTCCTCTGTTCTGGAGCTGCCATGGGGCGCGTGGCAGAGGCTCCCCARTTGTTGGCAGGTGGAGCGTGTGTGTATCGGGCACACTGGTGCTTCCCAGCTCCCATGGAGCTGAGAGCAGGTGTGAGGATGAGCCCTTGGAGATGCTMATAGAGCAGAGCTATTCCACGAGGGCAGAGCCTTGTGCCCGGGTCGCCTCAGAGAGCCTGGACCTCTTTCAGCCCGAAGATCAGCTCCCGTGTTACCTGACCTACACCAGCCCCAGGGCGCAGCAGATCGTCCTGGATAACCTGCACCTCAACGACCACGTGAAGGAGACGACCAGGGGGCCCCGGTGAGTGAGYGGCGGCGTGCCTGGGGTCACGAGCTGCTCCCCTGAGACTGCCTGGATCTTCCCTGCTCTGCTCTGGGAAGCTCCCTCGCTGCCCTGCCAGGTGACGCCTGTGGTTGTTTCTTGTTGCAGATATTGTCCCTCTCTTGAATCTAAGGTTCTGCGCTTCCCAAACCGCCGACACCAGGTGTGGCTGGAGCCGGAGGGCCTGGACTCCAACGTCATTTACCCCCAGGGCATGTCAATGACGCTGCCCCCCGAGCTCCAGGAGCAGGTGATCAGGTCCACGCCGGGCTTGGAGAGAGCCGAGCTGCTGCAGCCGGGTGAGGGCGAGGAGCAATTCGAAGTTTATTGGTTGTATTGTTGCCAGGCGGTAGGAATCGGCCCCTGTTTAGAGCGTAACAAAGTAAATATGAAACAAAATTAATTCCCAGATGGGGAGTTTTTGGCTTGGTTGTTCTTAAATTGTAAACTTAATCCTAAAATTATTACCTTAAGTCACTCTGCCTGACTGAGGGCTTTTCTGGCGAAACAGGGGCCCTCACAATCCATCCCATGACGTCTGTCCGTGTTTGTCACAGGCTATGGGGTACAGTATGATTTCCTGGACCCCCGGCAGCTGACRGCTGCCCTGGAGTCCCGCCTTGTCCAGCGGCTCTTCCTTGCGGGACAGATCAACGGCACGACAGGCTACGAGGAGGCTGCGGCTCAGGTGGGTGAACCGGAGCTGCCTGGGCCTTCGCCCCGGGGCGCCGGCCCCTCGAGCCCACGTGGTGCTCACGAGGTGTCGTTCCTCGGTGGTGTCACACCTGCCCCAAGTGCACGTGCACGTCGGTGTCTGTGTGTGCTGCTGAAACTGCAGTGATGGTAGGAACTGCCAAATACTGCAGCCTGGAGACTGCACGAGGGGCATGGCGGAAGACACATGGGGATGGTCCCTGGCCATGTGGGCAAGGCCCAGGAAGCTCCTCAGACCCCTGCGGTTCCCAGGGGAAGCGGCTGCCCGGCCCGGCCCTCCCGGGACGCGCAGGGYCCCCCATCCCGGGCCAGCGTGTCCCAGGCGGCCGGCGCTTCCCTCGACAGGGCCTGGTGGCCGGGATCAACGCGCGGCTCCGCGCGCGCGGGYGGCCGCCCTTCGTGCTGAGCCGCACGGAGGCCTACGTGGGCGTCCTCATCGACGACCTCACCACGCTGGGCACGCGCGAGCCCTACCGCATGTTCACGAGCCGCGCCGAGTTCCGCATGTCCCTGCGGCCCGACAACGCCGACGCCAGGCTCACCGGCAGAGGTGGGCGCCGCTCTGTGGCGCCGGCTCCGCGCGGAGCCGCCGGCGCTCCGCTCACGGGCCCTGCCGCCCTCCGCAGGCTTTAAGGAAGCCGGGTGCGTGTCCCAGGAGCGGTACGATCGATCGGTTAGGATGAAGGCTGCTCTGGAGGAYGGAATCGCGATGCTGAAGGCCCTTCAGTTCAGTGCATCCAAATGGGCCCAGTTAATTCCAGAAGTTTCCATTAGCAGCAATCGGAAGTCACCTCTCAGGTAAAGGTTGCAGCCTGCTCCTGCCCCAGCACTGGTGCCTCTTGTCCACCTTGCACCCTGAGGCCGTCGGGACTCACCCGGGGCGTTCCAGCTCGAGCCCCTTCAGGGACTGGTGCCTCCTCTTCACCYGCAGCAGCAGAGCAGTGCTGGTGTTTGGCTTACACTGCTCTCCTGGCTTGACGCTGTGTCCTGGGATACACTGCCCCGGTCCAGCTGGTTCTTGCTGCCCATATTGGGAGTGTTGCAGGATGGTGGCACTTTGTGACGTTTCAGCTGGGGGCAGTGTCAGGTGTGGGTGTTCTTGGACACCACAGCCCTGGCATCCCCTACCCATCTTCTGCTTCACCCTCCCTCTCCATTCTAAGTCAGTGACTGAGACCTCACTGACTCCGTCTGCTTGAAAGGTTCCCCGTGATGCTCTCCTGCAGTTACTCTGAGCTTGTCTCTGCACTTGTCCAGGTTAAGTTTAAGCTGGGGATAGCTGTAAATCTGTTAAACGAGCAAGAGTCTTTCATACAGTTTAAACTTACTCTTGTTTTCCACAGTGCCTTTGACATCCTTCAGTACTCGGAGGCCAACGTGGAGATTCTGGCAAGGGCTCTCCCAGATCCCCTGGGGAAGCTTGTTGAGTGGCGAGAGCTGGCAGAGAGGCTCAAAATAGAAGGTAGGCTGCAAGTGTCGTGATCTTCTCGTGAGATGTGCACGGGGCTCGTGCAGTCGGGGCAGCCACCCCAGTCCTCCCTCTGGATTCGCGTTGTTTCTTAGTGGAGCGGAGSGCCCGTTGCCAGAGGGTGCGTGTGCTGCCCAGGGCTGCTGTCCCTGTTCTGTGGTGTGCAAGCAGTGACGTGGCTGCGCTCACTGCTGCCCCTTTCCTCCCTCCTCCTCTGTCAAAGAGACTGTCCGCTCCTGAAAGGGGGAAAAAGCCAAGTTCTGCCTCCACTCATGTAGGAAGTTGAGGGGTGTGACTTCTTCCAAAGCAGTGATGGCAGGGGARGCTCTTTAACTGAAACCTCCCTGTTGATGTTTTCAACACTCCCTCTGGAATTGATCATTTCCTTCCCAAATTTCTTGGAAATGGCCAGTTCTGGTGGCGCATCCCGACCTGCTCCTTTGGTTTCCCCCATCTCCCCGCAGCTGCTTACGAGTGGTGCGTGGCCAGCCAGCAGCAGGAGATGGAGGAGGTGCGGCGCGACGAGGCCCTCCAGCTGCCCGAGGACCTGGATTATTTTGCCATCGACGCCTCTCTGTCCGCAGAGGTGCGGGAGAAACTCGACTCCAGCCGCCCGCAGACGGTGAGATCAGGAGCTGAACCCTCGTGAGACCCTCGCGTGTCGTTCCAAGGGACACGGGAGGGAGAGGAGGCCGGGGSAGGAAGATAACCCTGGTTTTCGTTTGATTTCTCACTGGCTTCGGAGTGAAGTTCATTGCTGGTTGTCTTGTTCCTGTTTCCACACGCAGATCGGTGCAGTCAGCCGCATCCCTGGGATTACTCCAGCTGCTGTTCTGAACCTGCTGCGATTTGTGAAGGCGAATCACCAGAGCACAAAGAGAGTGAAGGACTTGCCCCAGGCTGAGAGGAAAGGCGCTTCCCAGGCGCAGGTTTCAGCAGAGCTTTCTGAAGAAGAGCCAGAGGGTGCCCTTGCTAAGGCACCGCTGTAGAAGAGCGCATCTCTCCTCCCACAATACGTGACTAGGTCATCTTTGCTCATAAACCTGTTCCCAGCTGGAATTCGTGTTGGCTGGAGCTGAAGCAGCTCTGTGTGCACCCTCTGGTGGTATCGCTGAGCAGAATGAATGTGACGAATGTGTCAACCCCTATAAATGCTCAGGAATCCGGTTACAGCCCGCGGTGTCACCGGTGCAAGTAAGAAGAATGGGAATTGCTTTTAAAATTCCACCTATTTGGAAGCTAAGTCAGGTAATGAAGATCTGCTGGAAAGCGTCTTGCAAGGAGGGTGTCCGGCTTGCTCGGTGTGACGTTAGAGACCCACCAGAACCCGCAGCAGCCCGGGGTGATCTGAGCTGGAGAGCAGCTCCGGTGGCTTCGGTGCTCCCTTATAGCCAGGCTGTGGCTGTAATACCTAACGTGTGATGTTGGCCAGGAGGAAAAACTTGGCTACAAGAGTGTGTGTGTGGCGTGAATAGCGAAGTTAACACTGCAGACTGGTGGGATGGAAATACTGTAACGCTGCTTTTTTTTTCTTTTYTTTTTTTTCCTTGTTCTCCATTAAAATAAACCCAACTTTAAACTGTCCGTAGAGCTTGGTTATCTTGTAAGAAAAAAAAAAAGCTGTCACAGGTTTGTTTTGCTACATAAGGGGAAAAAATGAAAATGTGAATTTTACAAGCTATGCAACACTCAGAAAAGTGACCAAGTATTCTAAAACTTCATGCTTTCCCCAGAAGAGCTTTGTTTTTTTCCAAACCTTACACGCTGCTTTTGCTTTAGTAGCTATTGCATTGAAGTGCACTTCATACATAGGTAAAACTGGACTCTTGGACTAATGCACCTCTTTTAAAAAAATGAATGTGGGTACATAGGAACCGCTGAAGATGAATGATGCTTGGCCTAATACAGAGGCTGAGAAAGGATTGGCTTGGGAACGAGTTCTGTTGGAAATAAATTTATCTGCCATTTGGAGTTGCGGAGCTGTTTGGTGTGTCTTTGCCCCGGGTGAGTGGTTCCTCCCCAGGCACGAGGGGGCAGGCAGAGCTCACGCATCCATTCAGGGAGTCACCTGCCTTCCCGAGGCTTCCCCAAAACCTCCCTCTTAGCCAGGTGCTGTCTATGATGTGGATTTGAGCAAGCTCCAGAGCTGCCTTCGTGCCGCAGCGCTTCGGACAAGCTCACGTGCATCTGCCCCGTGGCACCTACGCTCCTTTCAGCATGGCTAGCTCAGGGAATCATTCCAACCTGGTGAGTCCTGGAGCTTGGGGGAAAAAAAAAAAAGACAGTTACACCTTGTGCAGTGCAACTTGGGCACCAAAATCCGTGCTCTGGAAAAGCAGCTTCGTCCCCAGAGTCCTGCTCCCCGTGCCTCTCTAGGCCTCTGGGCTCCAGTCTTGCCTATTCAGGAGAAGGCTTCATGCTTCTCTTCCTCACATCATCGTGCATTAACTCTGCATTCCTATCATTATTAATGTACCGAATTCCCTACACATCTCCCATGCAGTTTTAACAGACTGGGAAGGAAGCCTCATTGAGTTCCTTATCCTCTCACTTTTGTGAGAGATTGTGCAATCTTTGAATTGCTTTTCCTAGCTCTTTGTCTCCTCAGCAGCCCTTCAACAGGAAAATCCTGCTTCCTATAACGTCTTTAAAGGCAAAGCCCTTCACCCTCTGCAAAGAAGGYAGGCAGTTTTCCCTCAGTCCATAGTGCTAAATATATTCGTGTCCATGCTGCAAAGCCTGGGGGTAAAAGGAGGGGATGGCTCCCCCCAGCTCAGGTGCTCTCCTGTGAAAAGGAGAGCCTTTGATTTTCCCTAGYGCTTCCACGTGGCACAGCTGTGGCTTGGGAGGGAGAAAGGTGGCAGGAAGCCGCCTCCGGGCAGAGCTAAGGCAGAGGCACATGGACCTGCTGCTCYGCTCTCCCAAAGGGCTTTCCCTGGCAGCGGCTCTCCCTGGTTTTCAGTGTGATGCTTTTCCTCACCTCCTGGTAAGCGTCTGTGTTAAYACCGGGGGTTCTCTGTTCACGTGTRGGGATTAATGATCCCCTGATTGCTGAGATGTGAAACCTGCCATGGGCACAGGTTCGAACAGCACAAGGTATTAACCATTTTGCCTAAGTAGGGCTTGCTGTAATATTTTATGCTTGTTGAGCTCTTCCTGTTGGAAAAGACTTTGAACTTTAAATGAAGTCGTAGGTACAAATAAGCAGCTGCTCTGCTTGTTTTCTTAAGGGAGCCGAGCACGGAAATGCTAAACAATTCGCTGTCGGTAGCGGGGGCAGACGAGGACGTTGTGGCAGCGGTTCTGCACCGCTGTCCGCCGGAGGMTCCTGACGGTGCCCGAGGTTTGGGCGTCAAGCGAAGCAAAGCGCAGCCTCCCGCATCCCCAGGCATCGCTCCATGGGCTGTTTGGAGGACAACGTGGCATCCCTTTCTTGGGCTGTTACTCAGTGTCCAGGATGTTAGTCTGGTAGGTGGGAAACTTGTACCATAATTCCTATTGTGAAACAGGAAGGTAAGGTGGGAATGATTTGAGATCTCCTCTTGCCTTAACCATAGGATGTTTAAGGAGAGCGGGGGTGGAAAAAAAGAAAAAAAAAAAGAGGGTTTATTCTCTTTTGAAACTGCTGAGAAGGTTTGTGTGTGTGGTCCTGGAGAAAGAGATGCAGCAGGTTCAGCTCCAAGGGCTTCTGACTCCACAGGGCACCTCTATAACTCCATGTGGTCCCACATGTGAAACGTGAGCCTTGGTCTCTGTGCAGAGAATTCCAGTCGTGGCAAACCTTCTAGCTTAAAAAAGGGGAGCTGTGACCTCTTCATCCTGGCTTCAACCCCTCCATCCCTTATTTAGACTTRAAGTCTGGTTTCTTTGATGGCCTGTGACATCTCCTTGGGGGGTTTAGCTGCACTCCGCAGGCTTGAACATGCCCTGGTTATCCACTTCCCCATCCATGTCTCAGTCAGAGCTGCCTCCTCTCCAGGGGCGGCCCTGCGGAGCTCGAGGCGGCTGGGAGCCGGCTGCAGACTCCCCTGGGAACAACCAGCCYGGCACGTGTGGCCGAAAGCCGCTGCCAGGAGGAGAGGCAGCCGAGGTGGAGGGCGAACGCTCCTGTTSTCGGCACCCCGAGGGCTTCCTGGTGCCGCAGGAGCCTCTGCTCCCACGTGCTCCTCTGCTCCTGAGGGAGCTGGTGCCGGCAGCGACTCTCCAGGCGGACTGGGAGCACGGGCGGGAAGGAACACGGAGCCAGSCTGTGCACTCCGGTCCTTCAGCTCCTCGGCTGTGGTTCCAGGTGGCTCCGTAGCCGTGAATCACCAGGTGACAACCTGTGCCACAAGCTCAGGCCTTCCCAAGGGGCACTTGGAGAGGCCGCAGGGCGGCCGGTCCCGCTTCCACAGGGCGGCCGGTCCCGCTTCCGTGGCCTCCTGCCACAGGCCACATGGGAGCCGCTGCCGGAGCGCGGGGCAGAGCCACAGAGCAGGACGGGGCCCTGCCGGATACGGAGCCATCACTTGGAGCACCGGGGTCTCAACTTCTCTCTTGCCAGGCAATTAATGTGGAGATTCCTGGGATCTTTGCCCAGAAGGGATTTTGTAGGAATTACAATAGCAAGGAAGTGCTGGCAAAAGCAGGGTGGAAAAGCTCTACTTCCACTTGGGGTTGTTGTTATCCCCATCCCCTGAGCTCCCTGCCGAGCCACCCGCTCCCTCTCCAAAGAATCAGAGTTTTGCCGTCACAAACAAAAGCACCTTGGCAACAGGCTGCATAATGGTGAGTATTATTACTAGAAATAAAGTCAAGCAGCAGCAGTAGGGATGTAATTTTGTTTAAACTCATCTATTCTTTCTTTCCCTGGGAAATGCCATTTAAGTGCCTATTTGTTTTATACAGAAACATCTGCAATGCCAAASAGGCCTGTGTTTCTTTCTCCAAAATACCCTTGTGCTGTTATTATAAAACGAAATACTTAAAAGKAGTTTGATTTTTGCTTTTTTTCCTATTTACTAGGGAACTATCTTTGGCTAGAGTAACTGCTGATTTTTAATGTACGGAATGACACAGCTTCAATCATCAGTAATTGCAAATGAGAGAAAGGAACCTTGTTAATTTATAAAAGTGTTGTGTGTGAGTGTGTGTGTGTGTGTGTGTGTGTGTGTGTGTGTGTATATATATATAAATTTGAAAGAATTAATGTTGCTTAAGATGGGCCTAGATAGATGCAAATGAACAGAGCCTGAAACTTGCTTTTGAACAGCAGCTGGTTTTCAGTAGGTTCCTCATCCCTGCTCTTTCTCCCTTCTTTCCTTCACTCATGAAGAACTTGGGTCACAGAWTCACAGAAGGGTTGAGGTTGGCAGGGACCTCTAGAGCTCATCCAGTCCAACACCCTGCTCCAGCAGGGACACCCAGAGCACRGGGCACAGGGCGGCATCCAGGCGGGTTGGGAAGATCYCCAGAGAAGGAGACTCCACAGCCTCCCTGGGCAGCCTGTGCCAGGGCTCTGGCACCCTCACAGGGAAGAAGTTCCTCCTCACATSGARATGGAACTGCCTGTGTTGCAGCTTGTACCCGTTACCCCTTGTCCTGTCACTGGCCACCACTGAGAAGAGTTTGGCCMCATCCTCTCTACATTCTCCCCTCAGATATTTGTACATATTGATCAGACCCCCTCTCAACCTTCTCTTCTCRGCCTGTGTTTTTTGGGGATTAGGGTTTATATGGGACTTGGTCTGCAGGTTTTGTTACAGCAATGTTGCCCGTTGAGCTTTCACTTGGCAAATTGCAAGGAAAAGCCATCTTCAACTAACATATTAAGAGGTTAACATGTCATCCAGGCAGGATATTAAAGCTTACAAAATTGAATTATGTTGTGTAAATATCTAATGCATAAAGGGTTAGGGATGAGTGGATACACAGCCAGAAAAGTAACCTATGTTTTTTTTTTAAAGGATCTCACTGTAATTTAATTCTTAATATAGGAATAGCCCGAGAGGCACAAACAGGTTTCACAAAAGGCCGGATAAACAGTGTGTTTTGGAGACTGATGCAGTTTTTCCACCCACCAGGCCTCTCCTTCAGCTCCCTCGTGCCCTGGAAGAGCCCGTTGTCCTCCTGCAGCTTTCGAGCCTCCCTGGGAGGCAACCAGAACGTTTCGAAAGTGACGCCCTCCCAGGCCGTGCTGCTCCCTGCTCCCCAGCTCATCCCGTGCAGCTTCCATTTAGCTTGTGATCAGCTGTGGCCTAAGGGCTGCAGTTTCTAAGGCCCAGCTCCTAAACACTGAGACATCTTCGGTGAGATTGAGCAGCTTGTGTGAAGTAAAGGAGGTCTGGAGTCCCTTAACCTCAGCGGTAACGATACTGTTAGGAACTGCATTGAAAAGGGGAAGGGAAAATCTCTGTTGTAAGGGGGGCTTTGGATTTATTAGAACAAGAGCTGCCTGGAGCAGAACCTTGGAGAAGGGGAGGCCGAAGTGGGGCTGGGGCAGCAGCCCCGACCGCTTGACCAGGGCGAGCAGGAAGGTCCAAGGAGCCTGGTGG